ACCCAACAACGTAGAGATCAACCAACAACCAGCAACAACAAGAAATAAGGATATACCTTGAAATAAGGATAGTATAGCTGGTTGTTAACGATCTCTTGGGGAGTATCATTGATGGCTTGTCTCATGTAGCGTCCACGCAAACAGATAATTGCTTGTAAAACCTTGTTGAAATATCTACTGACTGTCTCCCCTGATCTTATGAAATGAGATCTCACAATGCGATTTTTAGATTTATGACCCAAAATATTTAGTGTCATGATAAGTTGTTCTTCCACTGATATATTCCTTGAGTCTTTTAGAAGCCTATTGTTCCTCATTATACTTACTAGCTTAACAAAAGCACCACTCCACATTCTAATATAATTCACACAACTATCACTAAAACCATTATAAATACGCTCTATATGTTCAATTCTAGACCTCTCTTGTCTTTTTTTTCCTCACTTGGACCACGATGTATAGATTTACGTCTAGCTTGCATTCTCCTTATGAATGTAATTATTGTAACAAGAACGGATAGTGCAGCACCTTGAACCACATTAACAACACTTTGTTCATCGGTACAATCCCCATCACCATCCATCTACGATGCAAAAATCAAATTGAAATAATTAATATACCTACCAAGCATTCATATGCAATGTCAATAATCAAAACTTAAATGACACATAACAAGATCTAAAGTTAATTTTCAGTTAATATTTCATCAATATTTTCAGTTTCTTTTACGACCATTCAAGATAATTGTCAGTTCATTTCTGTTCTCTTTTCAATTATATTTATAATAATTAATATAATTTTTAGTTAATTACAGTAACATTTTTAGTTAATTACAATTATATTTTCAGATAAATTTCTGTTAATTTCTAGATATCTATAGAAAATACAAAATTTCATCCTAAATAATTCAAATCATACAAAATTTTTAACAAATCAATTCTGAGTTGAGAATCATACCTTAGGTCTGAAATCAGTTTCCAGGAAGATCAAAGTCGGCAAAAAATCCCAAATTTTTTCTAATAAAGGCGCTGATAAAATCCAGCAAGCCACGAAATCCAGCAAAACGATTTCCTCTCGTTTTCGAAGGAAATGGGGCGAAGAAAAAAGTCCGATGTGGAGGGGATTTCCGCGGCTGGAGGGACGAGGGGGAGAAGCGAACCAAAGATGGGAAACGAAAACCCTAGAATGGGTTTTGTCGATGTGGAGCGGGTGTCAGGAGGAGAAAAGCGTTTCTACGGGGTTTTAAAGCGAACCAAACATCCCCTTAGAAAAAATAAATAGTTTCTTTGCAGCCAACTGGAAATTCAAGAGAGAGACTGCATATATGCAGCGTCATTCCCTCTGGCTGCATTTTTGCAGCCGGAGATACAGCCCGGTTGGACTGCGACGGGGCCGCAAAATCCATTTTTGCAGCCCCGTTGGAGTTGCTCTCAGGCGGGTCTAAACGGGCTGGGTTTTCAAATGGGCTGGTTGGGATGCCTAAATGTCAGGGGTATAACGGGAAAATTTCCTCTATAAGTTAGACTTGAAAGGAATGTTTCTTTCAGACCAAAGCCGCAAGAAATCTGTTGGTTTGAGGAACTTCATAGCAATTTCAATGATCTCAGGGGTTAACTTTGCAATATTGAAGATATGAGGGAGGAAGTATCGTTTAGAAGAGGGAATTGTAGCAGCTGACGTTTTTGAGGACAAGTATCCGTCCGAGGTGGAGCACTAACCTGAGTCAGCCAACCATGATTAACAGACTTGGCAACGAAGGACTATTTTCTACGCTCGAGTGATCTATGGATTCTTTTTTATACCCAATTGACATTGTTATACCCAATTGACATTGTTATACCCAATTGCACTAATTTTATCAATCAGTCTTTCTATGTTCAGATCCTCTTTGTCTATAAACCTACCATTAAATCTACCACCAACATACTCTTCAACCCAGCCCATCGGGAAACTTCCTCCATGTTTGATTTTAACCAAGATTTGGAGACCCATCTGCAATATCATAATAAAAACCATAACTCCTCACTAAACCCATCAAAAAACCCTAATTTACAATAAAACCCATCAAATCTACCCTAATTAGTTTAAAAAATATGAAATTTCCATTCACCTTTTGCTCCGCGCCAAAGATGATGAAGTAGATGGAAGCCTTGAACTTCAATCGTCTGCAATTTGGGGATCGTCACGCTCTAGGGTTCTACGATTTTCTTCTGCAATTTGGGGAAGAGAGGGAAATTAAAGAATGAGAGTTAATTACTGCTCTTCTGCGATTTTCTAGACAAACCGCTCGCTTATTCCCGCTAAATATCGCCACGATGGAGTCCACTTCAAGGCCACGTCGGAGTCACGTGAGCTCTTGTGTGAGAATAATGGCCGGAAAATTGACTCTGGCCAAACTTAAGGCATATATAGCGCCGGAGTTGAAATTTTATACCAATCTAACAAAATAAAAAGAAAATATACCAACATGTCACCAGGCCTCTAGAAAATATACCAATTTAGCCATTTTGCCAATTTAAAATCAACATAAGTTTATTTCTACTAATTATTTTTAAATAAAAATTTTACAGTTAGAAATGTCCTGTCGATACATTCAAAATGAGACTAATAATGAATAATATTAATTGAAATATAAAATTCCAAGAACCAAGTAATTAAAAATGAAAATGTATTAGAAAATTAGATGGAAGATAAACATACTAATATTCCAAGAACTGCACATTTTCCTTTTTTTTCCTTCGGTTTTATTTTTAAAGGCTCTTATATATTTCTTATTATCAATTCATTAAAGATAATTAATTTTATTTAAATATATGATTATATTATATATTATAATTTTAGTATTAATTTATAATATATTTATATTTTAATTAATTCATATAATTTTTTATTTTTTATATTTTCAAAATGATTTAAATTATTATATAAATAATTATTTAATAATATATATTTTTATATGGAGTTTCATAAACAGGGGGTGGTTGGAGTGTCCCCTCAAAAACAGAATATGTATGGGAATATTCTTTAGGGAGGCTGTAAAAATACAACCTCCCGTTGGAGTTGCTCTGAAGGGAAGAATTAGGAAAGTATGTAAATAGGTTGGACAAAAATACCCTTCTAGTTTTTAAATTTTATTTTAAATTTAAAAAATGCCACTAAATGCTAATTTGGGAGCACTGAAGCCATGCTCTTGTTTTTGAGATTTTGAGCTATTTTTGTATTAGTCCCTCAAATCTTCAATATTTTCAAATTAGGCCCCAAATCATTGAAGTTGCTCTAAGGGACCTCAGAGCAGCTCCAACGGGGAGGCTGCATTTTGCAGCCTCCCCAAAGAATATTCTCATGCATATTCTGTTTTAGAGGGGGGCAATCCAACCACCCTCCTCTATATGAAACTTTATTTAAAAATATATATTATTAAATAATTATTTATATAATACATTAAATGATTTTGAAAATATAAAAAACATAAAATGATAACCGAAACTGAACGATTCCAACGGTTCCTTGCTCGACATAAGAAGTTGAAAAACAAAGAAGCTCATTTTTCACTTCGAAATACATTGATTGAACATTTGTGGAAAAGACATGAAAATAAAGCGATGTAACTTTTTTAATTAAAGTTTCGATGTATTTCAATATTAGTATGTTTATCTTCCATCTAATTTTCTAATACATTTTCATTTTTAATTACTTGGTTCTTGGAATTTTATATTTCAATTAATATTATTCAATATTAGTCTCATTTTGAAGGTATCGACAAGACATTTCCAACTGTAAAATTTTTATTTAAAAATAATTAGCAGAAATAAACTTATGTTGATTTTAAATTACTAGTTATTAATTAAAAAGGATATGGAAGTAATAAGTAATTGTTTATAAATCATAAAAAGGTTAATTTTGGTATTTAGGAAAAATGAGCAGTTGCTTTGCAGCCAACTGCAAATTTAGGAGAGAGACTGCATATGTGTAGCCTCATTCCCTCCGGCTACATTTTGCAGGCGGAGATGCAGCCCAGTTGGACTGCGACGGGGCTGCAAAATCCGTTTTTGCAGCCCCGTTGGAGTTGCTCTCAGACGGGTCTAAACGGGCTGAGTTTTCAAATGGGCTGGTTGGGATGCTTAAATGTCAGGGGTATAACGGGAAAATTTCCTCTATAAGTTAGACTTGAAAGGAATGTTTCTTTCAGACCAAAGCCGCAAGAAATCTGTTGGTTTGAGGAACTTCATAGAAATTTCAATGATCTCAGGGGCTAACTTTGCAATATAGAAGATATGAGGGAGGAAGTATCATTTAGAGGAGGGAATTTTAGCAGCTGACGTTTTTGAGGACCAAGTATTTTGCTCAAATACTTGACTAACTGCTGCTTCTACGCTCGAGTGATCTGTGGATTCTTTTTTATAGCGAGAGGTAAGTCGTCACCATCCAATTTTTTCTCATTTTTACTATTCCTAATAGTATTTTGCTTTCCTAGTTGCTGCTGATGATGACAATTAATGTTGACCGCCATCAAACTGACATGTACAAATCCTTTCATTGGGCAAACGCATCGACCGCATGCTTGCCGATAACAACCGCCAGGTGGTTGTTGGTTTGCTCAAATGAACTCTCCCTCTTCAACAACAACACTCAATAAAATGATTTTTTGGAGACACCCGTACATGTAGATAGCATTCTCTTTATATGCTTTATGTTCCTCACGCTCCAGGCAATTTTACCATCAGCAATCGAAGTCGTCAACGTTTTTTTCCCGAATCATGAGCACAAACCTGTCCTCAAGTCAAACATACGGTTCTTATCTCTGTTTCACCCACGTTAGGTCTCTACGTAACGGCATTCAGTTTTTCTGCAAATAAGTACCTGATCTTCACCGTACAACTAAATTCGATAGAATGCATTTACTATTCATAGCTGAGTTGGTTCAGAAGGGAGCAAAAACATCTATATTATTAGTGCACTAGTTCCCAAACCCTCTTGTTTCGCTCTGACAATCGAGGAGATGATCCTTGTCGAACAAGCTGTCACGGAACAGTATTCACCGGATAGTTTAACTACACAAAAGCAACCAAGCAGAATTTATCAACCCAGAATCATAAATCAGAAATACAGCCTTATCACATGGTTAAGCTGCATATATATGAAACTCGGATGGTTTCAATACGCTTGTCTACTAGCCTTCCTTTTATAACTCCATCTTGAAGAGTCTCGTGTTCCCGAGATGCTGAGCGATATCTGCAATTGATCCAACAACGGAAACTAGAGACACAAGCAGACAGATGCAGCTCATGAGCTGTAAAGCCACCCACTTGCTATTGCCTCTCCTGATCTTAGCTTGGGCAAGGTACATCGTTATAGGATAGTATACTGTCAGTGGCCAAAATCCAAGGGCACCGAGCAAACCCACAATTGCATTGAAGAAGGGAAGCATCAGGGAAACTACTGTTGTGAGAATCACGAAGGTTGTTCGTACAAGAAGCTTGCATAATGTGAACTTGAAGGACCTTGATTTGGGAAAACATGCTTTAAATGTGTAGACTTTGTTGAAGAAGCCTGAATTCGGCCATTTTGTTGCTAGCCAATGTTCATAGAAGGCAAAAAGTGGTTGTGAAAATACCTGAATCAAGTCAGAAAATCATAGTAAATTGAATTTTATGATCGATTAAGCATTAAGAAAGTATAACAATAACATAGAAACTAATTGAACTACATATATCAAACTATAAGTATATGTGATACTGGGGGAGATGCCTTTGCAAATACGAAAGCACGAACAATTTAGAGATTGACGTGAAATAATCTCGTCCCTGGATGCATTTGTTGATTGACACTTAATACTGTCACAACGGTTAACAGCACGAAAACAAGATCATGACCACTTTGTGTTCAAATGGAAAGTTGATTAGGTTCTAAATCCTGCCTCGCATATTACTCAAGCTTTCATTCTATTTTAGATGTGAGATCAAAACTTAACTCTAGCATCTACCCCAATTTGAGCCACAAACTCATCATGATATTTACTATAGTGAATCATCTACTCCATATTGATCTAGTTCGGGTTTGATGTCAAAGTTCGTAGGTAAATGGTCAATGATATACTCGTGCATATCATTTTATGGAAAAAAAAAACACTGTTAGGGTATAAACATGATCATTATTTGGGTCTACCGTTATAAATCATATACCAATTTATACATCAGGCTGATTCTATTGTTACCATTTTCATCGTCAACAGCAAAAGGTACCGGTCCCAAGGGTAATATTAAAGAACGAAAACTAAAAGTTTAATGCTTCAAGATTTAGTCATTGTAGGAAAATAGCTACCAATCTATGTTCAATCGATTTCCTATTGCCATCTTTTGGAATTCTTCCTAATTTAATCTACCTCCCTCAATAATTCATTCATTTTGTCACCTTATATACTGAATCCAATTTCTGTACTGATTACTAATATAAATGTGCATACAGGCTTATCAAAATACATATGTTTATATATATTATGGAGTAATATACCTGATATGCTCCAATGAGATGTATGAGTACAGCAATATTAGCAATGTCAATAAGCCAAAATGGTTCATAAAATCCAGTAAGAATGTTTCCTGGGGCATCACTCCCAAAGGCAGCATATCCCACCAATCCAAGAAAGATGTAGAAGATTGTCGTTCCTCCAATCCCATAAACATTTGCTTTCCTCATTGTTCTGTTTTCAGGTGGTGGAGATTTCAGAGTATCCTGCAAAATCATGTCTTAGTTTGTTTAGAATATAGTTTACTTCTATGTATATGTATACACGGAGTTACTCTAATTATAGATACTGAAGGGGCTGATTATCCCCAGCGAGAATAGGTTAAATTTTACAACGGGTTAATTTCACATAACCCCCCGTACTTGGGGTCAGGGTGAGTGGGGGTGGCGTGGGGGTTGAACATAACTCTGCTCCCCCAAATGAAATAACACTGTTAACTTTGATGGCTCATGTGCCAAGCATCACTTGACAGAAAAGGATGAAAATGCTCTCAGTTTATAAAAAATAACCCTTCCCCAAAGGCTATTTTTGCCATTTCCCCATTACTGGCCAACCGCGTAAGGGGCTTCTGTTGAGAAAACTTCAAAGCTCAGGGGAGTTATGTGAGACAGCCAAAGTTCACCACACATGGGGGGAGCACGGGGGGTGGGGGGGACTAGAAAAAGCGAAGTTCAG